TGATTCACAGCCAGACTGACATGATATTATCAAATCCAGGCCAGCATGCTCACACTTTTTTAGGACAGCTTCTGTTTCAATGTGGTTTGTCCTGTTATATACTACCAGTCATCCTAAAAACATTGTCACTTTTAATGAAATTACAATAACAAAACACTTTAATACTTAGTATAGTGCATAGGACAGTACAGTATTGAGATTATACAGCATTTCACACACACAATTATGATACCCACAAATACATCCACAATTCTTTTATTAGAAGTATCAAAGACGCCGTATTTTGTCTTCTTTGTCAAAGCTGAACTGGAGGACAAATCCTGTAACTCCTCTTTCATTCAAAGGCTCACAAGGCTAATCCTTTCTATTTTAAGAATCAACCAGGCCACAGATTACCCACAACACATGTCTACATTTGTATTAATACCAAGCTGAGTATTTGATATAAAGTTGCAGACTAAGAGAAATGGGTTGTGTCCTGAATTAAATGTTAACGTTTTAATAAATCTGCCTATGAATTTTGTTAACAGTTCAACTGTATTGCTTGGTGACAGTGATACAAAACACATAAAAAAGTGAAAATGCAGTTATTACCTTACAGGAACATTGAAAATTTAAATTATTTACTCACCCTCATGTCCACACTTGTATGCTGTTTTTAATTTTGTTTATTTTTTTCATGAAACACTAAAGGAGACATTTTACACTTATGAAGTCTGTCAAGTTCCAAAAAAGCAGAAAAAAAAGCACAATTAAATATACTCTTCTGAACCCATATAATAATTTTGTGCAGTAGCAGCTTCTGACTATAAATTACAGTAGGGCAGATTTTGGGTCTTAGTTCTGGTTTATGATAAACATTTAGTAAGATTGTCTAATCACTGACACACTTTTGGCAGAGGTGTAACGTCGTCCTTGCATTATTCAGCCTGAGACAGGCGCTCTAATGTTGGTTGCCTGGCTTTAAAGGCACACTGTGGAATTTTTGGCCACTAGGGTGCGCTCGACCTGTAATTTTCACGTCTAGTGCCCCTAGAGGCCACAAGCGCCGCAGCATTGTCGCAAAAGTCAACAAACAGTCAACCGGTCAACCTCCAGTGTCTTTATGTGTGTGCAGACGCCATTTGATTTGTATGTTGGAGAAAGTTAATCGATTCACTACTGACCAAAATAATAATATAAATATAAGATTAATAATATAAATCCTATAAAGAAAAAAAATTGAATAAAAGTAGCATACGCAGAAAACAATGTCTGATCAGGTAAGTCGCATTGACAAGGGTTGCCCAATCCTGCTCCTGCCGATCGTCTGTCCTGCACAGTTCATCTCCAACCCTAATCAAACACACCTGAAGCAAACAATTAACGTCTTCAGGATCTCTTTGCAATGGGTTGGAGATGAAATCGAGTAGTCGGGAAATCGTGTAACAAAACTGATATAACTCACTACATATTTCTGTTATTTGTAGTCTTCAGTTTGTTTTTCCTTTTACACAAATACAAACATATATGAGCTGAAAGGGAAAAAAAACATTTACATTTGTATACGGCAGTATGTTGTGACTTATATCAGTTTTGTTACACGAATTCGCAGTAAATATTACATTATATATACACTTTTATGCCGATGTTTATTTTAACATCGGCCTTTTTCTTTTTTTGGTCTCCTCTGACAAAATCTTTGCTTTCTTCCGAGTAGCTGTTGATTCAGTCATGACGACAACATACAGACGCCGGCAATCAAACGCGAGTTGAGCTCTCACGTTAGAGGAAGTTGGGGTGGTGGGGGAAGTGACGTATGCCGTAAAGCGGTCGAATTTTGTAGTTCTTTTTGTGCTCGGGTTCCTACCCGAAACCCGAAGTTACATAGTGCTGGTAAAAGCGATACAGACACCTTCAGGCTTCGGCAGACGTGTCATTCAACCTATTGTAAGTCGATGTACCATCTCAATGGGTTTTGGTAATATATTATAAAGGTTGAAAAGTTCCACAGTGTGCCTTTAAAGGGTTAGTTCACCCAAAAATGACAATTCTGTCATTAATTGCTCACCCTCATGTCGTTCCAAACCCGTATGACCCGTACTTCGTAACACAAATTAAGATATTTTTGATGAAATCTGAGTTTCTGAAAAATTTCTTTAAAAAATCGGAAAAATATTTGTTGCAGAATTCTAAACACTTTAACAATTTATTATTTATTTAGTTTATATAGAGGTCTTTTTTTGGAAGAATATTTTGGTGGGGATTGACTTACAGACGAGCCACGGCTGCTTTTGTTTAATGATTGGACTGAAATTTAAGTCGTTATTTTTTAAAGGATGTTAAAGGAGAAACATGTCGACAGCTGTTAAAGGAGAACTCCGGCGCAAAAATGAACCTTTGGTCTAATAAAACATTGGTACCTAGTCAACCTTTCTCTGAGATTTGTTTTCATGATAATCGAATGTAAAGAGTTTTATCTCTAAAAACTGTTTAGCGGATAACGCTAGTAATGGGGGCATTTAATAAGTAAACAGAAATCGCTAGTTAATACCACTAACAAGGCTCAAAATAGCCCCACACGAACACAGTAACATAATGAAGGTCCCTACATACAAAACGAAGCATTGAGAACTTTGTAAGTGTACAGACCGTTTAATAAGAAGATAAAGATAAAGACAGTCCACTTCGTGTATACAGACAGGAGCCATCTTTGGAAAACAGTCTCAACTAATCAAACCACGAACGACGTGGTAAGTGAGCTGAACTGCATGAATGGTGTTTGTGGTTTGATTAGTCGTTTTATTTGACCAAAGGTTAATTTTGCACCGGAGTTCTCCTTTAAAGGGAAAGTTCACCCAGACATGAAAATGATGTATCATTTACTCACCCTCTGTGACCCTCATGTCAATCCAAATCTGTGTGACTTTCTTTCTTCTGTGTAACACAAAAGAAGATCATTTGAGAAACGCCCCTGTGTGTTTTTTTTTTTTGTCCATACAATGGAAGTCAACATTCGTGCACCTGAGACGGGTCTCTCTGTAGGCAAGGGCGTGGTTAGCTGGTGCCTGCTTACATCACAGGGCACCACAACTTCCAGTAGGAAAATTCAACTGCAGTAGCCACTGTTCAACCTGAAGAGGGCAGCACTCAGACGTTTTTACACCATATATTGTAGAATCAAAACACTTTATACCCAAATGTCAAAAAAATTACTTGAATCAATGAACAGCACTAAAAAAAGCCCCATTCTTACAGATCACTAAAAAAAGTTGTTTTAGGGTCTAGTTACCCTTTAACATTGGGCATGCAGGTTGCCTGATTTAGAATACTCCAAATTCATTAACATTAGAACGAGGTTAAGAACAACTTGTGTTGTGAATATTTAGTGACAAGTTTTCATGTGCATATAAATATAAACATAAACAATCCATGCAATTAGTGAATGAGACCCAATTACTATTTCTAAACAGGTTTTTCCTGAACGGTCCTGCCCCAAATTCACATCATTGGTTGTGTCAATGTAACTAGTTCGGATTCTCAAACAGACCGATGTTTTGATAAGTGGCACAGAGCCACAGTATTTGCACTTTTCAAGAGAATTAACCTACTGATGGCTCACTCACAGTTGTCTCAATATTAAACATGGAAACATCAAGATAAATCACTGTAGACACATAAACACACTTTCATCAGCATCTGACGTGCAGCAACTGGAAGCATTGCGGCCTTATTGTCATAGCCTTGTAAAATGAGCTTGTCCAGTGTTTATTTTTAGTCAGCAGCCTCCAGCTGTGTTTCAGTGTGATGAGAGGCTGCTGACACTTCCCTCCACACTGCTACTGTTCACACTTAAATAGGACAGACTGACTGTGAAGAGCGAAACAGACATGCTAAAGGTCTTCAGTAAAAACCCCAAACATCTGCTTTACACTGTGAAATCACAATGCAATTCTGCACATTTTCAGGTTTGAAGCTGCTACTTTAGGCCGATTAGAATTCAAAATTCACACGGCCAACTCGGCAATAAAGCCATGACTACCATTAGCTTTTTTCATTGATGTGCAAACCAAAATCTTGGTAAACAGTGGTTATTCTGTATTACATTTTTTTTTTTCAGTTATAACTGATAAGGCTGGGTCGACAATATCAATGAATCGATTTTAGTAAATTTTCTTTGATGAACCAACATCAATTCTTAAATCTCAAAATCTATATTTTAGTTCAAGCGGAACATGCACTGTAAAAAAAAGTTGCTGCCTTAAATTTTTAAGTACATCAACTTGGATCAGGATGTTTAAGTCATTTCAACTTAAATTGCATTAAACTGACTTAAAAAAAATGAGTTGAATCTTGTATAACTTAAAAAAAGTTGAAAATTGCTTAACTTATTTTGATGAGTTAAATCAATGTAAAAACTAGTGCTGTCAATCGATGAAAAATGTAACTAGATTAATCACACGTTTTTTTAAATATATATTTTATAATGTTAATATAATTTCACAGTTAATCTCCAAATTAATGTAGAGACAACATAAAGACAGTATATTTTAAATACTTGTTTAATGGCATCTTTTTGGCATCCCCCCCCCCCCCCCCCCATTTTAAACATTAATATATAGCCATTCAACATTACAGTGAAATTGAAAGCTATTAATTTCTTTAAGATTTCAAGATCTTTTTTATGCTCAATCAGCAACATTACGCACTAACTTTTGCGGAATGTTGAAAAAGTAAACAAAAAAGCATTATGACCCCTTTAAGAAAAATTTATGAACTTTCACTGTGCCTGATATATATCCAAATCCAAATCGGAATCAAATCGAATTAAAAGCTTCTGAATCGGATTCTAATTGATTCGTGAAATCTGTGTCAATACCTATTTTTTACAGTCTTATGGTCAATACCCAGCCCTTTTCTTGAGACTGTTTTCCTCAAATGTATCAACTACTAGTAAAAGTTTCCAGGCCAGGGTGGAAACTTCTTCACTGTATCGTCTCATGTGTGTGTTGACTCTACAGACTGGACTAATAGTGGCGTGCTACCAAGGGTACGTGGATGTTGTGATTGCTCTTTCCCAGTGTCCTCACCTGGATGTGAACTGGCAGGACAATGAGGGAAATACAGCCCTCACCACAGCTGCCCAGGCGGGTAAGAACCATCTGACAGCCTTCAATCCAATCCTGACATATTTACATTTATATTGCCATCATAAAGTTTAAGCAACTAGTTTCTCAACATTCAAAGTAAATGGAGTGTGAAAACTTCAAAACACTACTATAACTGAACTGTCGAGTGCCCTAGGAAGGTTATGTATTCAACAGTTGACTGCATTTCCATAATTCACCTGAACAATTGCAGGTCACATCACAATCTCTAACTACCTTCTCAACTACTTTCCCGGGCTTGACATCGAGAAGAGGAACTGCCACGGTTTCACCGCTCTGATGAAAGCTGCTATACAGGGTCGAGTGGAATGTGTCAAAGCCCTGATGCTGGCAGGTACTCGAGCCTCAGATCACTGTGCAAAAGAACTGCCAGGAAACACTGCAATATAAAGCAGCTGTTACAAGACAAGGATACAATACAGCCATAATCATACCACAGATTTAGTATTTTGTCATTTACTATTTACTTTTGCCATTCTGAATCGATATGCTGCTATTTTGTTTGGAAAAAAATGAACAAATTGTTATGCAGCTCTTGCACCACGCAAACTAAAAGCACAATACGACTACATACTGTATACTGTATATGTATATATATATATGCTTTTATTTTGGCTATTGTTGCTTGTTACGCTTTCTTACTTTTGCTATACTTTCTTTTCTCTAAAATGATTTTCTATACTGCATGTTTTCTTTTTCGTTATGCTTTCTTTTTTTTCTAAAAATGAGTTTGGTAACACTTTACAATAAGGTTTTATTTGTTAACATTAGTTAATAAAAATCCAGCTGTTCATTGTTTGTTCATGTTAGTTCACAGTGCATTGACTAATGTTAACAGATACAACATTTGATTTTAATAATGTATTAGTAAATGTATGTATTACATTAGTAACTAACTACAGTAACTAATGTTAACTAATGAAACCTTCATTTTAAAGTGTTACCATGATTTTGTTACCTGTGATTTTATGTATAAAATTAGCCATTTTTATTATTTTTTATTCCCTGAAAATCGTGCCCTTTCTGAAGATCATCTATGAATAACGACAAATGGCTTTAAGACTTGTACACTGTAAAAAATTGTATATGATCAATAAGTGTTTTTACATTGCTTTAACTCATAAACATATGTTTAGCTAGTTATACAAGATTCAGCAATTTTTTTAAGTCAGTGTAATGTAATTTAAGTTGAAATGACTTAAAAACATCCAAGTTTAAGGCAGCAACTTTTTTACAGTGTAGTGCAGTAATGTAGTGCACAAGCCATATGCACCTCTTTTTTGGTGGATTTTTATTTTTTATATTACATATTTATTTTTTAATTTATTTTTTTATATTTTATTTTATATATTACATTAGGCCATGAGACAGGACCCCAAATTTGGGCTACCGGTACCATTTTGAGGGATTAAATTTCTTTTTGATTTTCATTAAGGTACACATAGTGAAGGTACACTCTAGTGTTGGAAAATGTGTGATAGCATCCGATCCATGGTAGCTTTCATTAGAAATCAACACTTATATCATCCTACCTCAAGGTAAGGTGTTCAGTGACTACAAGAGAGAAAAATGTATCCTTTTATAATTTTAAAAATTTATTTTAAAAAATTATAATTTGTTTATTATAAAAATTATAAAATTTCATAAAATTTTTATAAAATTTCATAAATTTTTTATAAAATTTCATAAATTTTTTATAAAATTTCATAATTTTTTTATAAAATTTCATAAATTTTTTATAAAATTAAAAATTTATTTAAAGATAAATAAATTCATTTATCCTTTTTCTTGACATATGTTTGAAAATCGTCCTCCGTAACCAAAAACTACCTTGAATATAATGATATCACACATTTTTCAAATACAGGGTCATATACCTACACAAAAATCACCATGCGGTTTAATCCCTCAAAATGGTACCAATCAACCCTCTGTCTCACGGCCTACATGGCAAGAGTAGCATAATTATTCTTCAAAAAAGTTATTTGGTAGAATAGTGTAAATGTGCCGTTACTACAATCACATCAGTGCATTTACTTTTTCATCAGGGGCTGATCTGGAAGCCAGGGACAACGGGAGGAAGTTCACTGCGCGAGAGTGGGCCATCTTCACAAGCCGCTACGAGACTCTCTTTGCCATGATGCGGCTGATGCATCAGCCGTGTGCGGACCAGTTCTGTGGCGCCTATCGGCCAGAGTGGCCCCTTCTGCCCGCATTGGTGGCCAAAGCTCAGACGCCCAAAGGATGCATCCAGAAAATTTCAGAGACACTACGTGACTTCTTTGACATCAGGAACGTCACAGAGGCTTCAGAGGACGGGGTTCTGGATCACATGGTGCGCATGACAACAGCACTGGGGAGTCCGTTCATCGCAACGGCGTGTCGAACGGTGTGTCCCGACAGCCCGCCTTGCGTGGGAAAACGCCGTTACGCCGTTCAGGAGATCCTGAAGAAACAACGCATCGCACAGCTGAAAGGTCTGGGACCCGAGCGCATCGAGAACTACAAACGTCTTTTCCAGAATTCCCGCGTCCTGCTGGTGCCCAAACCCAAAGATCGCCGTGCGAGTCTGCAGGCCCAATCGGACATCTCTTCGTCCTCTCTGGTCATCCGCAGGACCAGTCTGCTCCCCTTACACATGCTGAGGAGGAGCAGCGTCAGACCAGGTATGGTGGTGCCCAAGCTGAGGATTAGCAAGGCTCCTACGCCAACCTACGTGCCGGAGAAAGTGCGGAGGAAAAGCAGCTTTATAGACGACCCGTTCCTTCAGATCCCCAAGTGGAGATATAAAGAACTTAAAGAGGAGAGAAAGAAAGCAGAGGAGGCGGAAAGGAATAGACTAGAGGCCATAACAAAAAGACAGCTCTCTACTGGCAAAAGGAAATAAGTGTGTGCAAACTCAACATTTGATACTTGAAATTCAGTCCTGATATTGGATGGAAATGTATTTTACTATTTATTGTTTTTTTTTTGTGATGGTAAATGCTTCTAAACTATTTTTTTCCCTCTTCAAAATGGGGGTAAAGTTATTGATTTAAAGAAGCTCCTTTAATATTTTTGCAGGTTTGTGAGCAACAGGAAGCTAGCCAAACCAGATCAGCTAATATGGGTACACTACTAAAACAAGATGCTACTGTATGTTTACATCCTTAAAATAGGACTATTTGACTTTAAGAGTTGTCCAAATGCTAGCATTGGCTCAGATTTAATAGTATTTAATCATCATGAATGTATTTAACAAACATTAATTTTTAATACCTCATTTTTGAAAGTATTTTTCTAAACATTGTAGGTATTTTGGCAGTAGCCATACCTGTATTTTCACACATTTCAGAGACAAATGCTCTACAGACAATCGCCAGCAAGTAATGAAAGACGGAGTAGTGTAGTATCATGGATCAGCATCTTGTTTGATATTTTCTATACACGTATTTTACTACTAACTATTTATACTACTAAAGCACTCTAAGTTTGTCGGCCCCATAAATTTGCACACTAAATGACTGGACTTTGCGTATTTAGCAAGGACCAAACTTACACAACTGCCTGTGATGAAGAGATGCACTTGAAAAAAGGCTAAACGGTTCTATATGGCAGGTAAAATGAATGGCAAAGCAAATTTATTCATGTTTAAAAATATACATCATATAAACAATAGGTTACTGTCGTAACCCCGGTTCTCTGAAACATCGAGTGGAGAGATCCACCTATGGGAAGGGCATCCGTACCTGACCTCTGCAGAAGCATCCAATTGCACCAAGTCTGGCTAACAGACAGAAGCGCGCAGCCAATGCCAGGTGAGGCCACACCCCCTTACCTACGGGCATATCACAGCTGGGCGCGCTGCTATTCCTCAGTCAGTATATTCGCTTCTCGTGCGGCAAGCGGGGCAAGGCTGGTGGATCTCTCCACTCGATGTTTCAGAGAACCGGGGTTACGACAGTAACCTATTGTTCTCTTTCATCATCTCGTTTCGAGATCCACCTATGGGAGAGACATGGACAGCTCCCCGATTGCCCAATACACTCACAGTGAGGTTCTGAAGGCCAGAGAAGGACAGTCACCTCAGAGAGGCGGTGCCTGACACGTCCCACAAACATGACCCTGCAAGTTTTCCGCCACGCTAACTGCTGTGGACAAGCAGGGCATGAAACATGCATGAGACACATACATGATAATGGCCCCCGCACCACCAATGCACATAGCTAAACCCAAGAAGGAATGCGAATGCTTGGTGACAGGAATGAACATGGCCAGCCGGCCCATTCACTCCTCGTTGGTTAACCAAACGGGGCTGTGGGAAAGGGCTAAGAGGACCCTACCCCTAGGACCGAGTGTGCCACCGAAGTTCTGGTGACATCCAACCGGTAGTAACGCTCAAAGGTATGAGGAGAGGCCCAGCTGGCCACGGAGCAGATGTCCTGCAGTGGCACTCCCCTGAACAAAGCCCAAGAGGCGGCTAAGCCCCTTGTGGAATGAGCTCTGATGCCCCTTGGGGCTGCACTCCCTTTGCTTCATAAGCCATAGTATAGCGTCCACAAGCCAATGTGAGAGGCATTGCTTTAAAATGGGACTCCCCTTGTGCAGGGGAGCCCTAGAAACAAAGAGCTGATCGCTCTTGCGGAAAGCACTGGTCCTGGTCATTATGCTTGCAGAGCACGGACGGGACACAGAGCATTCAGCCCCTGATCCTCCGGGGAGGCAAAGGGTGGAGGGTGAAAAGCGGATAGCTCCAAAACCTCCGACGTGAACGCAGGGAAGCATTTTGGCATGAAGGCCGGGTTAGGCTTAAGGAAAACCTTAACTCCACTTAGGGAGAATTTGGCGCACGAGGGGTGAACCGAGAGTGCATGTAGCTCACTGACCCGTTTAGCAGATGCCAAGGCCGAGAGCAAAGCTGTCTTGAGGGACAGCAGCTTAAGGGAAATACTCCCCAGAGGCTCAAAAGGATACAGAGACCGCGCTTCCAGCACCATGGAGAGGTCCCACTCTGGGACAGATTCAACAGATCTCCTGATGACCAGCAAAGAGCGGCGTGCACCCTCCATAAATCTGCGGGTTAGAGGGTGCTGCCTGACGGTGGAGCCCCAAAACCCACATGACAGGCTGAAATCGCAGCCAGGTAGACCTTAATAGTGGAAAAGGACCTGCCTCTTTCCATGAGGTCTTGCAGGAAACACAAAATATCAGGCACCGAGCACTGATAAGATGTGAAACCACGCCCATCATACCACCCTTCGAACACTTGCCACTTACAGCCATATAGGGATCGTGCGGAAACGGCCCTGGCCTTCTGAGTAGTGGCGATTACACGCGGCGGGAGCCCCAGTGCATTTTGGTTCGTCCTCTCACGGGCCAGGCCCAGAGAGCCACCCTGTCCGGGTGGGGGTGGTAAATCTACCCGTTGGCTTGGGACAGTATGTCCGTGCGAGGGGGGAGGCGCCATGGCTCGGCGTATAACAGAGGGATTATCTCTGCCAGCCATGGGGCTTTGGGCCACCTGGGTGCTATTAGAGTGAGAGACAGGCCGTGCTCTCTCACCCTGGCCAGAGTGAAAATTATCAGGCACAGGGGAGGAAAAGCATACAACAGCACTTTGGGCCATGGGTGGGCCAGTGCGTCTGCCCCGAGGGGCGCGTCCATGTCCTTTAGCGAGAAGAACATAGGACAATGGTGATTTTCGCGCGAGGCGAAAAGATCTACGGCTGCCTGTCCCATCTCATCCATAACCTCTCCACTATCTGCGGGTGAAGACGCCAATCCCCGTGGATTGGGTTTCCCCTCGATAGCAGATCCGCGCCTCTGTTCCGAATGCCCGGGACATGAGTCACGCGTAATGACAGAAAAACCTGTCTGCTCCACACCAAAAGCCTGTAAGCTAGAGCGTGGAGTTTTGACGAGCGCATGCCACCCTGACGGTTGATATAAGCCACTACCGTGGTATTATCGCACCGTACTAGAACAGGATGTCCCTGCAGGCAAGGCAGAAAATGATTCAGAGCTTTCCAAATAGTAAAAGCTCTAAATAGTTAATGTGCGCTGAACGTAGTCTGCTCAGCCACAGACCGTTCACCGTTCTGCCTTCCTGGGTGGTTCCCCAGCCTGTTAAGGACGCATCTGTCGTCAAAACTTTTCGCATCGTACCGTCCCGAGGGGGGGTTCCCCGTGCGTAAAAGTTCTCGCTCACCCAATGGCGCAAGACCGCCGAGCAGGCGCGCGTCATCGTTACCGAGCGGCAGAGATCGCAAATCGGGCTGAAATGTAGTGTACAAAACCCATTTCGTGAACGTTCTCATTCTCAGGAGACCAATGGCACAACTTGGATAGATGAAGCCATGAGATCCTGCAGCCTGAGGCATGTGCGATATTGTACTCTCGCCCCTTCACTGAACTGAGACAGACAGTCCATCAGCGTGCGAACGCGCTCTTGAGAGAGACGCGCTCGCATGGAGACTGAGTTCAATTCCAAGCCCAGGAAAATGACATTCTGACTGGGAGTCAGATTGTTTTCGCTCGCATTCACCTTGAACCCGAGGGATGTGATGTGCGCGAGCACCCGGCCGGTGTCCAGCGACACCTTCTCCTTTGATTTGGCTATGATGAGCCAGTAAGTCAGAATTCTCAGCCCTGATAGTCTCAGGGGCGCCACGCCCACCTCCACACACAGACAGAAAGTTCGGGGACTCAAATTGCACCCGAACGGAAGAACTGTGAATTCGTAACAAACGCCTTGGTAGGCGAAACGAAGATATTTCCTGTGTGGAGGGTAGATGCTTATGTGAAAGAAAGCATCTTTCAGATCGACTGATGTGAACCAGTCGTTCTGCTTTATGGCACAGGCGAGAGAGGCTTGTGTCACATTCTGAAATTGAATTTCCTCAAATGTTTGTTCAACACTCGAAGGTCCAATATAGGGCGGGGGGGCGCCACGCCTTTTGGAACATGAAAATACCAGGAATAAAAACCATGGTTTATCAGATTGGGTGGCACCATCTGAATCGCTCCCTTGTTAGGAGGGAGGAAATTTCCTCTTTCAGAATGTGTGAGGCGTTTTCTCCTGTGTGAGAAGAGAGAACGCCGTTGAAATGCGGAGGTTTTATTGCAAACTGCAGCTTGTAACCCTGGGTTACAGTACGCAAAAACCCACTCGGGCGCTGAAACGGCTTGCCAAGCCGCTTTGTGACTCGCGAGCGCCCCCGCTCGGGCCGGAGCGGAGCTGTATGGGCCCAGCTGGTTCATTTGTGATGCAAAGGCGCCATCTAGTGGGAACACTAGAGGCAACATGCAGGGGTTTGGAGGGATTTCCTCTCTCTGCAGTGAGAAGTTTTCTTTGCGGAGAGAGGTCTTCTCTCCAAAACGAATTCATTTGATTCGTAGCTTTGTGTGTTTTGTGTTGGGCAAACACTGGGGCCAAAGCCTTTATTGACAGAGTGAGGGAAACATAGTGTGGTGTCCACTGTACTGAACTTTCCCTCACAAGGTGTCCCCAAAAGTGGGAAAAACACATATCTCCTGAACACATGAACTGGGCAGTCTCAAGTGCAGGCAGAAAAATAATATCCGCGGAGAGAGATACTCTCTGTAACGGATTTATTTAATGCGTTTTTTTTTTTTTTTTTTAAGTGTTATTTAGTTATGTGTGTGTTTTGTGTTGGGGAACACAGGGGCCTTACACACACAACGTCCACTAAAAACACATCGGCTGGACAGCCGCAACTGAGCTGTGTGAGCCCAGTTGGTTGATTTATGAGGCAATGGCGACCTCTTGTGGACGGACTCAGGGTGACATGCATGGGATCAGAGAGATTTGCTCTCTATGTTGCCGCTGGCATATATATAAATCTGCACGAATTCATTTGATTCGTTTATTAAATGTGTTGTTTAGTAATGTGTGTGTTTGTGTTGGGAAACACTGGGGCCGAAGCCTTTAATAACTGGGTGAGGGGAACCAAGTGCGTGCGGTGTGTTAACACTGCTATGTACTTTTCCTCACGACAGCCCCCTCCCCCGTAACTTGTTGTTGTGGGGGGGAGGGGGACACACACACAACGTCCACTAACATACGGGCTGGGCAGCCACGCGAGGGGATTAACCGACCGTAGGTGGGAGACCCTGTTAGTTAACGTTACTCCCAATGGTCGAACAACAGGCAGGCCGCTTGCGTTCGGGACCGCCTTCCTAGGAAGGCATACATTGAAAACCTCAACACGTAATCGTAACAAATCAAGGCCCGTGAGACCGTGTTAACAGTCTAGCGGGACGCTCCGGCCGTTCAGACTGGGCGGTGGTCCCAGCGTTTACCCGTCGTACATATTCCTATCCTGGTCGGTGGCGCTCTGTGGAGCTGGCCACACAATGTTGAAACGAACGGCCGCTCGCTCACAAACTTCCAGGAGGATGGACGGAGGCAAAGCCGCGTGAACGCTAGCCTAGGGAACGCTAAAAGGACCGCGTCATCCCCGTCGCCGGAACCGACCGGTTCGTCAACGAGAGTGAGGTTTTCCCGCGAAGATGTCCTCTTCAGGGAATGCGGATTGGGCTGATGTCAGCTCAAATATTTTTAGAGAGGTGGCGCTCCGGGAGTCCCCCGGTAGCGCGTCATCATCACCGTGTCTCTCCTCCGAGTCAGAAAGGCCGAGCACGGCGCGCTGTGTCGTGCAACTAAAAGCCGGCTTAGTAAAAGCTACATGGGCAGCAATTACAATGACCGCAATTCCCCGGGTTCTCCAAAGCTTGAGCGTGTTAAGCCCAAGCAGACCGCGCAGAACGAGAGGGTCCTTATAGCGGCGATGAGAGCACCACACGCGACCGGGCAGGCTCGTCGTGCTAGGCTGTTCCCCGGGGGAAGCGGCTGTTTAGACGGTCACATAGCCATGGGCGGGCCAGCGGTGAAGAACTCGGAAAAATCCGTGGCGGGCAGCCATGTAAAGGAGGAGCAGGTGAAGGACAGCGAGAGCTCGGACGGCTCCGGATGCAAAAAACACAGCGGATAGGCTGAAGAAACGACTGTCACTCACGTCTGGCGGAGGCTGATCTGGCGATATGTCCTCCTGAAGACTCGAAAGTGAGCAGCGTAACGTTAATCCAACCGAACTGTGTCAATGCAGAGATCGCGAGAAGCGAATGTCAACTGAGGAATAGCAGCGCGCCCAGCTGTGATATGCCCGTAGGTAAGGGGGTGTGGCCTCACCTGGCATTGGCTGCGCGCTTCTGTCTGTTAGCCAGACTTGGTGCAATTGGATGCTTCTGCAGAGGTCAGGTACGGATGCCCTTCCCATAGGTGGATCTCGAAACGAGATGATGAAAGAGAACTACTGTTAAAAAATTTGGCGTCACAGATTTCTTTTTAAAAGAAACACATTTTTATTCACATATTAAATTGATCAAAAGTGATAGTAAAGAAATGTAATAATGTTATAAGTTTTGTATTTATATTCTTTTTTAATCTTCTATTCATCATAGAATCCTGAAAAAATGTAACAATGTTTACACAAAAATATTGGACAACTGTTTAAACATTGGAAATGTGACAATGAATGGAATAATGGCTTTATTCACAAGAATAAATTACATTTTAAAATATATTAGAAAACAGTTATTTTAATTTTCACTATATTACTGTTTTGTTGATCAAATAAATGCAGCATAGGTGAGCATTAGACTTTTTTTATTTTTATTTTTTTTACTTTTTACCAAACCTAAACTTTTTTAACAGTAGTGTATCTTGGCAAACTAGTAGTTTAAAAAATCAAGTCAATTATTTAGCTAAAGATTAGCCATGAATTATTAAATTGAAAGATTTTTCCTAAAAATATAGCTTTAGGGTAAGCTGTGTCAGAGGTTCAACTAACAGTGATACTGAAATTCACCCTCAAATGCAGAAAATACCGTTTTTTAATTTTTTTAATTGTCAAAATCTGAAAATTATTAAATATTCTGAATATTTAATATTATGCCAGCTATTATGAAAATGCAAATAGGGTGCAGCAAAATACTTGCAAATAATTAATATAATTAAAAATGCAAATTATTCCCCAATTTGACCTTGACATGACTTACCCCTAACATGGGCAATGTTTTTGGATGGGTATTTTTTAAAAGGCCTTATTATAAATACTTTCTAACAATTTCAGTTTATAGGATCTATCCTGAAATATATATTAAGTAAAAAGTGGCACAGCTTACCCCGCTCTTCTTCAGATCTAGGAACAGTAAAACCAAAATCAAACATGTTACAACAAATCTCAGGTATGAACGGTTCTGTATGCAGAATGATAACTTTTTTTAAAAAATGAAAGTATATGAAGTGATATCTGTTTGAAATGTCTTCTCACTGACCGTCACGTCATCTCTACAGCACCACTGTGCCTCGGACTACACAAAATACACAGACGCACTCCTCACATTTTATATGGAAGTCAAAACCTACCAGCGCTGACGTTATGTCAGGTCACCCTGTTATTGTAAAACAGTGTTGTTTACACTATTTTAGGTTGTACTAAATAAACCAAAAGTGATGACCAGCAATACCTGGAATAAGAGTGTCATTGTAACTTTGGAATAAAACACTGCTTTGCAATACTAAAGTGTGACGTCATTTTGTTGAACTTTAAGCAGGTGTAAAGGTGAAGCACAGACCTTATTAAGCTATTGAGGTCATCGGAGTGAGCTGATAGACGCTGAGGTACTTATCTATCTGCAAGGTCAGCACTTGCTCAGGACAACATGAAGAACAATGAAGCACCCTCTGCTGGAGAACCGAAGCACTGACGTGTGACCTGCAGCAGGACTGATAGCCTATCAAAGACAAATACCCTGAGAGGACCTGAATGTCAGATAGACCCCAGGGTTTGGGTCACTCTGAACTGGCTTCAAAGCCACAGCTCAATTTTCAGATAGCACGCTATGGAAAAGTACAACCTTGACCTGAAACGTGACATTTGGTAAGGGTTTAGCTGCCACTCAAGCTTTTGAGTTTCACCTTGAGGTTTGGCCAGCTGGTGTGCTAATGGCATGTACCACAGAAGTCTTGCTGTTTCGGGCCCAGAACACGCCGTGGGATCAAGCCGTACCCTGCGGCAGCTGCTGGCTCTTATCGACACCTGAGCGGCTGCGGAACACAAAGTCAACTGATAGGGATAGCAAGAGAGCTTGAGAAGACGAGATAATGAAAGAGAGGAAGAGGAGGAGGCAAATCCTGAGTGGCATTGGGAGGAGAACAGGAAGCTGACGGCTTTGCCACCCTCTACTACCATGAAAACTAGGCCATGGGATTACACACAAACTTTTCCTGCTGAACTTAATGATATACTGTTCTCATTAATAATATTCAATAGGACAAAACAGACATGGCAATTGTTTGAATTTTTTATTACAGTGCTTGCAATGCAAGTATTGAAATCCCTCTACTTTTTACTCGCCACAAATTCAATTAATTCAGCTCAAAATTGCTGTCATAAACATAGACAGCTAAAACGGCATTAATAACATCATTTGGTTAATTCTTTCTTGTAACTACTACCTTCTACTGATTATTTTTTTCTTCTGGAAATGCAATTTTAACATATAGTTTAAGCAAAGAGTATTGAAATCCCTCTACTTTTTATTCTTCACAAATTTCTGCAAAATGTATAAGAAAAAGTAAATGTGTGTGCGTGTGTAACACATATACATACACACACACCCCAACTGGAATCGATGATCACATTTTCCTATTTCACTATCACTAATCATATGCTGTCTTGCAAGCACTATTTTCTTAGGGACATGCAATTCTAGCATATGAATGATTTTTTAAAGGCAAACAAAATGAACACTCCCCTTCTTTTTATTCTCCATAACTTTAAGCAATTAATTCAAATTGAACCACGTCTAATTATGTTGTAGATAATTTCAGCTTTACATGTCACTACTGATATTTCCATCAGGTAATGCAATTGTAGCTATGAATTTGTTTTTAAGAGCAAAAAGGCGTGCATGGTTTTATATTAACTCTTTATTCAGATAACCACACCTAGTACCTAATGCCTAATATACAACATTCACTGAGTTCAAAAAAATGATTTATACAATTTACATCTCTCTGGAACTATTCATGTAAAACAAAATTAAAACAAAATAAAAAAGTTCCACATATCCCTCATGAAATGAACCCACAGAATTATCATGTTTCTGATTAGTGATTGGCAATGGAGCCTTCAATTTTAGTGTTGCAATGATTTACAGGTAAGAGAAAAAGGAACGTTTGTCATGATACTGGACGCTTGCAGGCACATACGGAATGGGGGGGTGGGGGAGGGGCAGCGTACGGAATGCTTGACAGCAAGAGATCCCTGGGAACCTGAGCAGGTGTTTGGGGTGGTGTGGTCCTGGCCCCGTGCCCGTGGTGGTCTACAGCTGGGTTAAGGGCTCACTTCCGAGGCTGGTGGATGTGCTGGTTGATGTGATGAGCCCCAGGAAGCTTCTGTACCGAGGGCACAGGTTTCTGATGGGCCACCTGGGCAGCAGCAGGGGTGAAGTCTTTATCTCCCTGAGAAGGACAAACAATAATAACAGTCAATTATAATGTGTCCATATGATAAGTGACATGTGTGCAGTGAATCACACTGATAATTATACAACACTCAGTCCTGGTCCTCTAATCTGATTGGCCGAGAGGTGTTCCAAGAGTGCTATATATTGTAACAGCACTGTGATGTTTTCTGTGTTCCAGGGGTATTATTGTTAACTAAAACTATTAAAACATTTTTGTTATTTGAAATAAAGCTTGAATAAAATAAAATATTAGACGAAATCCTTAAACTAAATGAAAATTAGAAATGTTGTCATTAGAACTAAAGTTGTAGCACTAAAATGATGAACTGGACATAAAAACAAACTAAACTTAAATAGCAAAAAAAAAAAAAAAAAAAAAAAAAATCAAAAGCAAATAACAAAATTACTAAAAGTCAACCAAAATTAAAAAGAAACCTTTGGATAATTTTGAAGCTATATTTGTTGATGAAAAAACTAAGGATGCACTAAGGATAATATCGGCTACCATATCGGTATCGGCCGATATGTGTTCATTTCTAATGTTATCGTTATCAGTTCGATAAGAAGATTTGGCCGATATATTAAAGCCGATAAATAATGGATTATTTCCCTCAGTTGAGACACTTCAGATGCGCACTGTTCGTCATGATGGTTTTAAATGACTTGAAATATGATTAGAATTACTATTTTTTTGGTAAGGAAAGTTGGCCATAGGAGTGTGAAATAAATGTTAAAACTTACACAGGTTCAAACTAGGCTAATATACTTTTTTTTGTTTGTTTAATTTATGTTGAAGTGCTTGGGTGGCTTTTAATGGTAAGACTTTTGTTTTTGTAATCAGGCTCTCAAAAAATGATATAAAAATGAGGATTTAGATTTATTAGCCAATATATCGGCTTTTGATGAGAGACTGAGATCTCTTTGCCTTAGTTTCATGTCGTCTATTAACATGAAAAGGAAAGCGGCACAGAAGCATCTGACATGCAGCCGGCTGATGCCCAGTGAGGACAAAAATCCTATATTGCAAGAAAGCAGCAGCCGCAGACATTCTCCAACATCACTTTAATCTGTATGAGAGAGTCTTTCAGAGCAAGCTTTTGAAGTAGATTATGGGGTGGACAGTCCAACACAGTGTGGCGAGCCAAGACTGAACACAAGCTTGGCATTTTTCTATTTTCTGTCTGTTTACCCGCTTGCTGGAGGACTAAAAGAGCCTCAGATGTGAGTATTTAGAGAAGAAATGTTGCATAAATTGTGTCACTAGAAGCTGTTTAGATCACTTCAAAAGTAAAAGGAGGCCAATGGCCCAGTAAAAGGGCTCCATGTGCATCGTGACATCCTCTAGGGTCACTCGTAATGGCCTGTGACGTGTGTACTCAAACACCACGTTCTCTTACACATCTCGAGCATCTGACATGTTTACACGGAGGACCCTATATAATTAAATGGCAAACTCTCTCTCAAAACGCTGCACGCTCATCCTGGTAAGCATGCACAGATCTGTCACATCAAAACATAATAAATCCTGAGACGCGGCCAATCCCATGGCGGCAGAATGGATTAAGGTCAGCTTGGGCTGGAAACAAGCAGAGTGAACTCTATGTGACGAGCCATTCAACAAACCCCATACAGAGTCTCCTGCACATCGGACTATTGATATGATCTCAATAAGTGATGCAAGGCTAAAACGGCTTTTATCGGAGCAAACTATGTCTGAGCCTCAGGCTAGGGTTTCATGAGGGCAAACTTTGGGGATTTTAGATACGAGCAGGTTTAAAATGAATTTGGCTCTGCTTTCACACCAGATGCAAATATTCGTTTGCAGGGAAATGTTTGAATATAAACAAGGCAATGCTATGGTCCTATTCAATAGGACAATTATAAACATTTACAAGCTAAAAATTCGACATTTGTTATATGTACAGCAGTCCAAAATGTCTTCGGACAAAAAAAAATGAGAATAACATATTTAAATAAGTACATAAACCCGGTCTCATGCAAACAGCAATTCAATGCAATAAATAAATACTATATCATACCTTCACATTTTATCCATTTATATTTTATTCAAATTATATATATATATATATATATATATATATATATATATATATATATATATATATATATATATATATATATATATATATATATATATATATATATATATATATAAAAGTGTATTATTATTTATGCACATTAAAACATTTATATTTCAGTCCCTTGTGTTAAATTATTCTGAGATTAAAACGTTCAACTGTTTATTTATGTAGAACTTATTTGGACTTCAAAAATAAATCCCAACAGCTTGCTTGATCTGTGTTTCTCTCATGAAGCTGTTAGACTATCTTCTCCTCTCTCTACTCTGTCGGCAGACCAGATGGTGAATTCACACATCAGTATCACCTATAGTACAGGCGAGAATTTAACATGACGGACATTCAGGAATCTGTCTTTGGTGTGAATAGACCTTTATGAAACAATTTGTCTCACATTTGCTATGAACAGGCCTAGTTTATATAAACCATTTAAACTGTTGGACCAGGAATAATGTGGCCTTTGATTTAGATATTATGATGTAATCAATGGACATGTGTACCAACCTTAGTGACGACTCCCGAGACCACAACATGCATCTTTGGTGGGCTAAAGATTGAAAAAAAAAGAAGAGAAGACCACAGTTACAAACAGAAAGCAATGTCTTATACAAACAACCAAAACACACATTTAAATATATGTGCTAGTTAATGAAGCATAAGCAAAACAGATGACAGTGTTTGTGAAGCAAACCATTCTCTTTTCATGTCAAACAGCAAATAAGCCTGTGTTTTAATCAGTCTCTGATTTTTTTAGGATCATTAATTTTCCACAGGGAATATGTGAAGGAGAACACAAACAACTCTGTAGTCTGGTAATGAATGAACCACTCATATTTCAGAAGGGTGAAAAACCTTCCGTGGGTTTCAGCCAGATTCGGCTCAATAGTGCTGCCTTGTGTCCAGGAATGTATGCAGAAGGTGAAGGCCAACGTTTGACCAGAGAACTTGTTTGTGCTTGCAGGTAAGAGTATTAGTGAAATGAGATGTTTCCAAACTTATAAACCAATTAAAAGCAAAAGGTTCATAAGAGACTGAATACAGATGTAAATTTAGACAGCAGCTAGTGAGACATCTGTTTCAACAGAAATATTTATATATCAAGTCAATGTTAGATTTTTTAAAATTAATGAATAATATGAAGATAATTATTAATAAATAATAAATATGTACCAAGGCTTTGTGACAAATTAGCAGCACTATCCATCACCATGCATAATTGCGTAATTTATAATTTGATCAATGCCGAGCTGACAGCAGTTTGTCGGGCTGTGTGAGATGAAAGTGTGAGGCCTGCACTGATTAGCTGAAGGTCAACAGCCAGCATCATTATGGGTGCAGGAGCTCGGAGTCAAATTGAACTCAATCAAAGATCCGACGTGTCTGTCAGCAGACGCCCTCTACTCCACATAACTGCTGGAAGAAAGCGGCTTTTCTGTGTCCGGACACGTATCTGATCAGATGCATGGAGGGAATACTAATGCAACAAATTAGCTACAGCGCTGATGGAAACATCATCATATAGATTTCACAATCAGCATGTGTGATCCACATTCACCAGGCCACCAATTACAGTGGGATTAGCATGATAATTATTCTTCTAATTGTAGCATAGCATGGTATACAATACTACTAATGAGTGAAACAAGATAATGAACAAGATATTGCCTAAATAGCCATTTGCATATTGGTTAACATTAACCAATAGGTCGTATGGCATTGATGATGTAAACTAACAGACAGAAGTGACTCGTACTGTTTTCGCCAAAACAGCAACCGCACAATATGTCGGATACCGCACACTTGCCCATACAGATATGGCTCTGACAGACACGTTATAACATTTTTTACAATTTATTTTTTGGCACTTTTGCCAAACGTGATCGACACTCGGGACGGGCCAGTGCTGCATCATCACAAAAGTTTAAAGAGTTCTTTCACGTCGTCTTGTGCTTGAAATGACATAAACAAAATTAAGTCAAAATGCCTATCTTGGCAAGTATCCTTGTAAACAGTCAGTTATGTCTTAACTGAACATAACAGTAACAGTATATTGGATCTGTGCATTGGCTCTTAAAGTGATAGCAGCCTAATAAACCTGTTGCCGTCTGTGTTTTTAATGTCAATCAAACAACAAAAGACAAATAACAATCATTCATTGCTCTTGACTGAATAACTTTAATAAGGATTAATCATTAAGTTTCATGACTGGTAAAAAATATTTATGGCCGGTAAATTTTCTTAAGTCACTGGCCATACGCAGGTGTGGCAAAGAGTTAGTTTTTGGCCCGGCATACAATGATAGTCAATGGGGTCCAATGTCATTGACTTTCATTGTATGAACTCTCTACAGGAGCAATAAAGTCATACAGGTCCAGAGCTACATGACAGTGAGTAAATGACGATAAAATTTGAACTCTCTCTTTAAGCCCTGGTCACTTCTCAAGGCCTGCGTGAACATGCATGTGTGGAAAGTAGGGGGAGTAAATGGAGGGGTCTAATGTAAAACCAGGAGCTCCAGGCAGTTGCTGAGGTACAAAATGGCCTATAAAGATTCCAGAGGGACAGGGAATTTACCGCCACCATCTGAGCACAGAGCAGAAACATAGCTCCAGGCTTGTGGAAGCCGTCAGCCTCAGAAATGACTCTCATTCATTTTCCAAAGCCAAGCGTTTCCCTTAAAGCACTAACTCAAAAGTGAAGGTCAAAAGTGATAATTGACCTTGACAGGAAAAACAGCTCAATCAAAGTAGAATAATAACGCCAAAGAGAGAGTATTGAAGAGTGGCCATTTTCCAGTAGCCCTTCTCAAATACTACTCCGTCTGTAGTACATTACACCACCGATCGCACACTGCAGGAAACCAAGCTATAAAAGGAGACAATTCAATTGCTATCACAGCATGAGACACATCTTGATGTCTCAACATACTTAAGGCTGAGCATAAATGAGGGCATTGTGAGAAGTGTGAGACTTCGTCTGTAATGCTGTGAAATCTAGAATGTGTCAGAAGTTTGTGGCTTTCATCTTGCTGTGAGAAGGAGGAAACTCCAAAGATTCGTGAGAGAGAGAGAGACTTGCCAAAGGGATAATCTCCCTTTGAGGCATAACAGTGCTGCTCAACCCGTCTCATAGCTTCCTATCTGTTAAAAGAGACAGCTGTATAATCTCAGATTAAACAGACACTCCAAGCCCTGTTAAAAAAAAGTGAGATTTTGGTATAAAAGGTCAAGTTATTGAAATCATAGTGTAAATGAATTAAAAAAAGGAAACAGGATTATATCTCTCCTACAGAGGTCATTCACAACCTTATGTGTTGGGATATAATTATTAACCCCCTATGCTTGGAACTGTGTGTGTAGATAAAGATTTATCATACAAAAAATGTTGATGAGGAGCATGTTTTAGCCACAATCCTTTTAAAAAAAAATTCCATTCTACACCTGAGGATGGCAGTGGTGTGCTTGTTTTCAAATCAGGCCAGAGATGTTGCAAGTACACTAACTACAGTGCCTAATCATTACAAAGTAAAAATCATTGATGAAAAACACATACTGAAATAGATTGCAGGGTAAATATCAAGGTCAATAACTCTTTGGAAGAATTAATTGTTCATCTTGAACAAAAACATTAATGTATTAGCTAAACCTCTCCTGGAATTATTGTGAGTAAAAACCAAGGCAGAATTTTCTTAATTTCTTATACATGGCTGTGTCAAAATAATAAAACAAACTTTAAACCAATCAATCAATCTAGATCAATATAAACTACCAGTCAAAAGTTAATTACGAAAAGAAGTCTCTAATGCTCACAAAGGCTGCATTTATTTAAATCGCAAATACCATAAAAACAGTCATGTTGTGAAATAGGTTTACAATTTAAAAGAAATGTTTTCTATTTCAATACATTTTGAAATGCAATTTATTCCTGTGATGCAAAGCTGAATTTTCAGCATCATTACTCCAGTCTTCAGTGTCACATGATCCTTCAGAAATCATTCTAATACACTGATTTGCTGCTCGGTTATAATTAATGCTCAATTATTAATAATGGTTCTTATAATTAACATCATCAAGGTTGAAACCATGATAAATTTTCCCTCAAGATTCTTTGATGAATAGAAAGTTCAAAAGAACAACATTTATTTAAAATATAATTTTTTGTAACGCGTTTCTGAAGACTCGGGTTATGGCTACGACTTAACACACTAATAAAAACGTAGTTATTTCAAACTTTTGTTTGAAAGTCTGTCTGTGTGAGTCCATCCATCCATCCATCCATGCCTCTTAGAAGCCAAAAAATCCATCTATCCATCCATCCATCCATCCATGCCTCTAAGAAGCCAAAAAATCCATCTATCCATCCATCCATCCATCCATATATATATATATATATGGAGATGTCAGATGCTTCTATATATATATGTGCACAGCACACAGCGAGGGATGGGACACAGTGGTTTGGCAGAGGGAGTGGTTTTGGCCTGATGGATATTCTGTGTAGAAAGAGAATGAACTGCTATGGTATAACCCAATCTCAGCTTCAGGAGCAAAGGCGATTGCTGCAATTAACAAGTCGGCACAGACGCTCACAACTTGCTGTCGTCATGGCAACCACATGGCATAGCTTTTATTTACTGATGAGCTAAATCGGGAGGAAACAGCAAAAACCACTTGTCTGTTGCTGAGGGAATGAGCCGTGCAAACGATGCAAAATTGGACCGCACCTGAAGCTCCATGCTTAGCCTCTGCTGCAAACACAGGACTCAGTCTCAACATCAACAGAATACAAATACAGGGTGGACGGAGGAATGCATCTGCTCCTTTGTTACAAATTCCACATCAATTTGGGTGTAAATAGTATACGCAAAACAGAGCTCAGAGTACACGCTTATAGGCATATAAAACCCATAATCGAATGAACCAAAATATTTAATAAACGAACACACAAAGGCGTGATATGAGGGGTTTGTTAATGGGAGGTGTTGTTGACATTCTGCTGAGCTTTCTGCAACGTTTTGAATGTGCACATTCTGTGTGGCCTGATGATAGGTGAGAAAAACCACACACAGGTGGGCATGATACGGACACAATAGAGCTCTGATGAATGGCTTACTAATATCCAAATAAAAGCCTTCCCCCTCTTAAATTAGCTAACGTAGGGGGAAAAACTGCATTGATATCTGTTCCTTATAATCATACAAAAGTTTGTAGTAGTGAAACTAACCCTTAATGCTTTTCCTAAATAATAAATTCACATTCCTACCAAATATTGATGATGAAAGAGGGAAATGCGTGTTGCTAAACTAAAATACTTACAATTATAACATCCAGTTATGCTTAAAATCTAGATAATGCATGAGAGATCTTTTGCTCAAAGCCACTGGGTGAACAGGGAAGTGCAGCTCCATGTGTGGTTTGACTGACAGGCAGAACATTTGAAAAGTAACTTCTCTGGTAATGAGATAACATATAGTTCTACAGAAATTCTTCCGACACAGCAGTGAGGCAAATTTAGGCAGATTAACTGAAACAACACACCAAGAGCCCA